CCAAATCCATCATGAACTCTCTTGCCCCTTTTACTAATCCCTGATCCTAACCACAAACCCTAAAATCCAGACCTAACCCCCATTTTCTAACCATAATTCAAAAGCCCAAACTCCAACCACTTCATCTAACATGGATCTTCACCCTCAGCAACCTTAAAATCCCAACCTAAAACCTCAAAATTTGTCATAACAAATGTATCAAGTAAACTGAAAATAACAAACTCTAAATTTGCGACCTAATCATCGAGTCATAAATGAACTGGAATTCAGTCTTGGATCAGTTTGATTTGTCAATGAATCATTTAGGTTTTGTGAATAGGATAAACCCATTCACTGAAAAGATCTTCACTCACAAACTCAGATGTTAAGATGTCTAGTAGTGAATACTGACATTTTTTCCTCACATAAAGAAGTTGTATGGCTTCAGAAGTCTTGGCATATACTGCATAAAAAGGACGGAAGAAAGGAAGAGGTGCAGATAAATACAGATGGAAGCAGCATTGAATAAAACTGACCCTGCGACTTGGCTTGACAGAAACTGTTGGTTTGTGCAAATCGTCTTGTGTCCTCCTTATGTCATTCACGGCATGTCTGAACAGACGGATGTTAAACTCGAGTGGTAGCGTGATGCTACAGGCGGTTTAGTGTTTCAGGGCTCACTGTGAAGTCTGTCTGAATATGACGAGGATAAGAATGGGACAGATTTCTGATGTATGGGACATGAGGCCAAATTCATATTCAAGTGACCATAATGACCTTCAAGCACGCTGACTCTGAACACAAAACAAAACATGCGCCCTGGTTGTGGGTCAGTGGCCTTGCAAACACACATGGCCATTTAACAGAATGTAGTTTCATTACACTTCACTTTGGTGAGGCACAAATCATACCACATCAACATCAAAGGAATGAATACAAATAACCTTACTGTAATTTACTCCAAAGAGTTTGGGATTAATCAAGGTGACCTCTGTACCCCTTACTGGTCCAAACAAACTGACTGACAAAAGAGCTGAATGCCCACTTCTGGAGCAGCCTGGGTTCCAAAGGTATTTTCCCCATTCATTTCAAATATGGCACTCCAGATAATTGTAGAGCTCTGAGCTATGAACTAAAACTCCTGAAGAAGCATTAACAAATAAAATAAAATAATAAAAACTAAATAAAATAAAATAATAAAAAATAATTAATGAAAATAATAAAAATAAAATAGTAATTAAATAAATAAAATAAAATACCACACATTATACCACACAAATAAAATAAAAATGACCACACGTTATTTTTAGCTTTTGGTGGCACATTATGAAACTAGAATTGTTTTATAATCCGCCTGTGGAAAACAACTGCCAGTAGACAGCAACAACTCTAGATTGTGCTGAGAAATTTTTAAATTAGAATTTTTTTCTTTAAATTATACACACTGTGCATTAACTTTGGCAGTCCTATAATAAAACAGGAAAACTAAATAAACTAAAACTATAAAAAAATTAAAACTAACATTGATAGCCTAGACAAAACTAAACAGAATAATAATAAAAAAATACTGTTCAACTATGTATATACAGTAGTAACAAAAATATTTGGGCACTTAAGTCACACTTAAACATATCTCAGTGTCACTGCATTAGGTAAACTATAAAACCAAGTGTTGTCAGGAAATAAAAAACGCTAGAGATTTTCCTCAAAACACATTCATTTTTGCAATTCCCTTTGTCAAGGTTTTTGGTATTTTGGTAAAACATATGTGAAATGTTAAATGTTTTTAGTCAAACGATTTCAAAGTGAGTTTCTGACATCCTTTTAAACTTTGTTTTTGATCATTTGTTATATAATGCAAGCACATTTATACGTTTTTAAATGTTAATTAAATTTCCCAATACCCTTTGGAATCAGTATAATTAGCACAATACTAGAAATGCTCCTACCATAATTATGCATGTGTGCGCTTTGGAGTGCAATTGTGCTTCACACTGTATGTGAAGCGCATAGAGGCTGTAATCCACCATACTGATCACTGGGGCTTAACGAGGATTTAATGTCTCTCTCGTTAACCTTTGACCTGCACTGACACAGAGGAGAGACATACTTCACATAAGCTCTCAAAATACCTCTCTAGATCTTTCTCTTCTTCACCTTATCTTTCCCATTTTCTTGTGATTACCCCTCAGGGATGAATTATAACATTATATTGAAAATCTAACTCATTTTATTTCTCCAGTTCTAATTACTGTAAACAGACAGTCTAAACCTTAGAGTTGCAAAATACAGTGTCTCATTCTCATTACTGTAACATGAAGATAATATGTTAAAATATGTATGTATCATGGTTAGGGTTGGGTATCGTTCACATTTTAACCGGTATGGTACCAGTATCGGTACCTGAATTTCGGTACTTTACTCTCTGCGTAATACAAGAGTAATATATTTCTGTTACATGTTAAACCGTACTTTTATTTTGACTGGTGTTCTGAAAATGCTGTTAAAAAAGTCCTAATAGGAGATTGCTCTTTATTTAATGTTATGATGCATTTCAGACTGTGTAATATTATTTAACTGCTTTGATGATTAAGATCTCTATACCTTCCCTCTCTGTCCTGAATCTTTAATCTATATATTCCCTCACTTTCCTTCTCCCTTTCTCTCTGGGTTATATCAGACACTCTGATTGCTACGGGTCATAAATCACACTGGCTCAAGCTGCTTTTAAAAAAGGCTTATATGTTCTCAGTCAAGGTGTCAGTTAGAGCTAAAGCCATTGAAGGGCTTTTTTGTATTCAATACTAAAATGTTTCGAATGAGCTGCTTTTCTAAAGTATAGACAGGTGCATGTGGATCGGCTTTTACTGCCTTTTCATTTCCTATGAATGACTCACAATTAATCTGGGCCTAAAACCGCAGGCCTAAAAAAAAACAACTGTGAGTGCTTCCAACTGCAATTAGAGATCAAATTATATGCTTTCTGGGCTCTGACATGCGGGACAGGCTGTACGCATACGCCGATTCTTGAGTACTAAAACAGACAAAACAGGCTATACTAAAAAAAATTATGTGTCATAGAATTAAATTGAATTCATCTACTAAATATGTTCAGAGATAGTGACTTAAATTTGGTTTCAACATCCATTTTCTCACAAATGTTTTTTTTTTCACCCATCAACACATATTGCTGTGAGATATTACATTAATATGTCAAATACTTAATATGAACGGACAAATCTAGAATTAACTTCAGTGAATGAATACATAAATACCACCGAATGGTTTCGAACACATTTTCAGCATAGCTGAAAGAAAGAAAAGAAAGTTATGTCTAAAATGATAAAACAAAAACTATATAACCCACCAGCGTCTGTATGACCTTGTATATTTAAAAATAATGAAAATAAATATCAAAATAAGACTTTAGGGTGAGGGATGACTTTGATACTTCCGGATTTAATAAAAAAAATCATATATCTTTCAGTCTCACAAAAGTAGGGACACATCTGTGAAAACCAAAAGAAGAAGTGTAATTTCTACAATTAATCTTTTGTCAGTAGTGTTTATTATACAAAAAAAAGCATTTTTATTAATCTATACTTTAATATATAATTTAAGTATATTTGCTAAATATCTGCTAAATGTCTAAATGTAAATGTAAGTATATATATTTATGAAGTATTGAGTTATGGTCTGAGGGCAGTTGACTTTAAGGGAAGTGAAAATTTTTTTTTTTTAAATAAAATAAAATTTTATTAAATTATATTATTATAATAAAATAAAGGAACAAATAAAAGAACATTCTAGTAATCATGTAAATTGGCAAAATATCACTATTTTCAAAACTAATAGCAGATACATTTGTTTTGTCCCAGGTCTCAAGAATCAGTGATATATTGAAAATGACTGCAGAGCTGGCTTTTTTTATTGAATACCTGAAGTAATCTGAGAAAAGTCAACTGCTTGATTAATTGGGGAGAATCTAAAATCAGTCTCAGGTGAGAAACAAGTTATCACTAGCAATAATCAACAGCACTGTAAAATAATCAGTATTGATTCACTGCCCCTTGAGAGCAAGACACTGAACCAGCAAACCATAATTTGTATGTGAGACCGTGTAGGTGTCTGGGACACGGCGTACGTGAGTGTAGGAAGTGCTTGTGTGCTGGAAAGTGCATTACTGCAAAATGCAACGTGTGAAGCTTTAAATAGCTGTTTGGCATCCGTTTTGGGAATAATTTTGATTTCAGCTACCTTTAAAGCCAATGAAATGGCTTGATGACTGCTGTTTTCTTTCCTGGATTGGAAGTAGGACATATCCAAGGAGTCAATAGCCAGTAGCCTTTTGCCCTTGGTCTGTTTCACTGAGGTGTGGTCATATTAGCGAAATTTAGGCAAAATTTTGTGGGCCAAAAATCCAATAACATAGTAATGCATAAAGCACACCAAAGTCACCAAGCAGCTTTTTGTTGGTTAGCACTGCATATTTGCACGACCAGTTTAAACATGAGTAAAATCTGCATGGGGAACTTTTTTTGCCCTCACGCAAAACTCCTTATTGTGCTGATTCCTATTAAAATGACTGATTTCGCTTGCAAAATTTGGCCAAGAAACAGGCATACACTAGCATATAAATTAGCCTCAGCGCTAACAGACGTGCAAAACTCCAAAATTGATTTCAGAGAGTCTGTGAAAGCGAGTTATGCAACAGTCCTTGTACAGAATGCAGGATATAAATATACTGAGCACACAGGTAGTGCGTATGCATGTTTGTACACTACTCTAATTATGTGTCAAGAGACTATTTTTACCCACAGTGCTTTTTTGCACAGCGAAGGTCATAGAAAGCAGAAACAGCTTGTTCTTCAGCGTGACTCGGCGCTTTGAGAAAGCCGAGGAGTGAATTATAAAACTGCTAAGAAGGGCAAGATGGACTAATCGACCAATTAAGGGGCCTTTCCATATTTTAGGTCGTGAAAATACACACAAAACCCAAAAACATTTAAAAGCCTCCTTACCTGTCCCTCCTCTCTGCACAACCAGCGTGGCCTCCGCCCTAACAGGACACTCTTTTAGCAGCTCCACCACCTGTGTGTGTGATAGCGTTAGCGCGGATTGCTGGTTAATTTCCACAATCAGATCACCCTCGCACAGCCCCGGGCATCCCTGCGCCTCCAGAATCTGCTTCACCCGCTGTCCTCCATTACAGTCTGCTATGGTGAATCCAAACCCATCCGCCCCTTTCACCATGGTAACTGTTAACAGCTCTCCTCCGGCTGCTCCTGAAGACGCCATTGAGACGCAGTCCTCCAGCGGTCCTGCATCCAGGTGGGTGTCTCCAGGGTGGGGCTGCGCCAACATCGCTTGCATTGGGTCGACGAAGCGAGCAGTGCGGGAGATGTACTCCATGTAGCTGTCGTAGCTATTCCGTCCGTTGACCAGCAGAGGGCGATCAATCAGGCCGAGGGGGGACAGCAAAGTGCTGGCTGCGTCCTCCGGGTCGTACGGAAGAGGGTAACCCCTGCAAAGGACGAGGGTTACGCTTTGTCCGATTGGCACCGACTGGAAAAGCTTCACAACGTCAGTGTGGGTGGTGCCCAGGACGCAGACGTTATTAATGTAGACAATCACGTCTCCTGGAAAACAATTACACACAAATAAAAGATATATTAGCATATGTTAACTTTGGTAGGTATATATATGGACCAGAAGCCAAGGCTGATTCAAAAGGTAGGCATAATTACCTTAAACATAATTATACTTCTTTACAAGATACCACATTCCCAGAAAGCATTGCAATGAGCACAGTGATAAAATGGATCCAAGATGGTGGACGGGTCAAAAAATGGTTGATTCTTATATTTGATTCAGTTAAGAAAAGTACTGATACAAGTTCATTACAAATAATAATTACAAATCAACTATGCGTTCATTATTTGTGTGTATTTTTGTGCTTATGAGTGCTAACCCTTACGGAAATTAACCATGGGTTTACAGATAAAACCATGGTTACTATAGTTAAACCATGGTAACTGCAAATTAACCATGGTTTTTCTGCACTAACCATAGTTTAACCATGGATTTTGTAGTAAAACTGTGGTTATACAAATGGTAATCAATACGCCAAAGAACCATGGTTACTACACTTTTACTACAATGAAACCATGGTTAATTTTCATAGGGTAAGTTCTGTGTGTATTTTTGTGCCAATAAGAATGTGGAGCCATTAGCTTAGCAACACGCTAATATCTAACTATTTTGACTATCTGCACAATTTATTTGTGTGTGCTGTGTATTGTTGTGCTTATGAGAGTGCTAATTCATTAGCTTAGCAATATGCTAATGTAAAAATATCAAGTTTGACTATCTGCTTCATTACTTGTGTGAGCTGTGTATTTTTGTGCAAATGAGAATGTGGAGCCATTAGCTTAGCAACATGCTAATATTAAACTAAATATTTTGACAATATGCTCCAATATTAGTGTGTGCTGTGTATTGTTGTGCTTATGAGAGTGCTAAGTCATTAGCTTAGTAACATGGTAAAATTAAACTATACATTTTGACCATGGAAATAGCAATCAACTGAAATGCTAGTAAAGTTTTTATCATAATTTGGAACCAAGCTTACTGAGAATACGAACCCTTTAAGAATGTTAACCCTAACAGTCATATAAGATCCAGCTGGATACACTGAAATTCCATTGTTTTATTATTTTTTTTCTCTCAGAAAAAGTTTATTCATTAGATTTTTTCCATTCTTATTTGGAAACTTATTTTTGAACCTTATCTCATTTGGGCTGTTTAGGATTGGTTCCAACTTATCATTAAACACCATTAGTATTCCTTTAAGATTGCTTAACTAGAGGAGTCAAATCTCCTGTGTGCTTCACATGAAAAGCACCATTTGTGTGGCTCACTGCCTGTGAAGAATGTTCCAAATCAATCGTTTTGCCCGACGAAAAAGAAAACTGACAGCAAAACGGCTCTAGTTTTTGAAACAGAGCTATTGAGGGGAAAAATACATTTTACCCAATAAGAACAGTCTGTCTAATCAGGATGAAAAACTTTCTAACCAAATTGCAACAATTGCAGTCATTCAATATTTATGCATGTCGTCTCCCCTGGCAACTGTGACAATTACAGCACACCAGTTGAAGGAACAATTTGAGGGACCTACTCAATCCTTTTCTCAATCCTGAAGTATCGCCATACCTCAGGACTTAATTGTGATCTTCAACTATCAAGAAGTTTACCAGTCCTTCCAATGTTTGTTCACTCATGCCAGAATGTGAAATTGAGCTTGCGTTTACATTTGCGTAGAGTATGTTTCGGGCCAAATATAGGCTTTGCCCTCCATCTTTGAATGCTGACAAAGAATTAAATATCAGAAATGCAATTATTATGGAAATGAGACGATGCTCAATATTCCAGCAAATGTGGCGAATGCATTTGTGGGATAAAAATGACCACGGGGTCTCACCCGGTGTGTCTGTTGTGCTACAGGTTTCCTAGAGATATTTCATGCAGTGCCGAACGCGTCTATCGATAGGCTTGTGCCCTCCTGACTGTTGTGTGTTGTGTGCAGGAATTGTAATTAATCTCAGTAAATACGTTCGACATTTGCCTAGAGCCTCTGGTGTTCCAATCAATAATTTCACATGCTTCCAGAGAGCAAATGATATCGGTGCGACCTCGCTGTTTCACACCTAGTTTTATGTCAGCATCAATCTGGGCCGAAGCTCCACAGGGCAAACCAGATCACTGCACTCCCACAAACAAGACATTATCATCCACTTAAAATTCAAACTTCGAAAATTCAAGATTCAACAACTCCCATATTATGTTCTGCTTCCTTATAATGATGACACTGGACAATAAAGGCCCGTTCACACCAAGCACGATAACTATAAAGATAACGATAAAGATATAGTTCTAAAAATCGTTCTCAATATTAAAGAATAGCATAGTTCACACCACAACTATAACGATAACGATACAGAGGAACGATATCGTTGTGATCACTTTCAAAACGATTTTTTTTCCAGCTGATGAACGATAAAACACTGACAGCCAATCAGAATCCATCCTGCTGTAACGAGCTCAAGAATTTAAAGTGGCAGACTCATGTGCGCTTAGAATAAACAGACGATATCGTTCGCTGGTGTGGACGCTAATATCGTTATCTTTATAGTTATCTTTATAGTTATAGTTCTTGGTGTGAACGGGGCTTAAGAGCCACTAAAATTGTGTAAATAAACTTCAAACTAAGGCTGGGTTATAGCTATCACCTTTTATGTGACTAGTATGAGAGCATTTAAATAGAGATGTATTAATAGTGTGTCTGATTTAAATATTAATAGCAAAAATGTACAGTAAGTTTAATTCATATGGTCAGTTTCAATTAATCTAATTATTCATTCAAATGGCCCTTGCGCAGCATTTTTTCATGTAGTAGATATATTTATTATTTGAGGATATTTTGTTTTGTTTATTGCTACTTATTGTTATATTAAAATTAAAATTCTTAAATATTTTTCTTCTTCATTTAATGACAATCAGCGGGACAAACATGCCTTGAGTGATTTTAACTACATTTGTACTATTTTAGTTCTTACATTAAACATGTTTAAATTTTACTGGGCTGAAATTATACTTTATATAACTATTCTTCTATGTCATGAAATTTCAATATTTCGCTGAAATTGTTTTGACACTAAGATTTTTTTCCATGTAGAAAAATGAAATTGCAATATAAAAATATTTTACCTATTAAACTTATTAAATATTAAATATATCAATATATAATGCTGTATCAAATATATATTAACTAAAAAAACAACAATACACTCTGAACTACAGTCTTGTTCTGAAGAGAAAGAGGGGCTGTGTAAAACTAATGACAGTGAGACAACATAAGAAGTGCTCTGGGAGCAAACGTCTGAGACATCTTATGTCTGTGCATGCATGGAAACCCAGAGGAGCACTGCTCTGTGACTGGCATTCTAAGCAAACACAATCAATACACAATCCCCTAAACATCGCTGCTGAGCCCCAATAGACATTCTATACAAATGAAGCTCTAAACATCAAATGCAGAGATCCTCCAGCAGGCATATGACTTGTGTGCTTCCTGTCCCTCAGCAGCACACTGGTGCACCTGATTCAACTCATTATCTGCTTGTTAAGTTCTTTATGAGAGGACTCGGGCACAGCTGCGAGGGGCAGAGTAAACATTAGCACCACAGAGGCATCTATAGTGGGCGTGGATGGGGCGGATAGCAGGGCTCTAAGACACAGGAAGTGAAGCATGTCACGTAGCAAATCCCAGCACTCTGCATGATAGTTTTAATTTATCAAGAAAACACCTAGTCGGGAGGACAAGAGAGAGAGGGATATGTGGCATGTTTACGTCACATTAATGTTAATTTGTGGATGAGGTGTTAAACAGTTATGATTATTTGTGGTGGTTAGTGTTGAAGTAATGTTTTTTTTAACATGTTACATAATCACAGTGAGACTTGCCTTAGCAAACATCCCTAATGAATAGCTCTAATTATTAGAAAATCTTGTATAATAGTGTACATTCAAATTGAATAACAAATAACCAATAATTATCTTTATGTTATGGTTAATAACTGACAAATGTTAAACAATTTTGCCTAAATAAATGAAAAATAAAACACTATAACTAAAATCAATCATATTTAAATGTTGTGAGTCAATTTATATCTAGATTGTAATGTACAGTATTAAAATGCAGTATAATAATAATAATTTTGATATTACTAATGGTTTTAAAGATTAACATTATGTGAGCGTTAGATGAAAAAATTACCTGCATTTCTAATATTCCCTGATTGCTGTGGTCATGCAGGTCTGTTTACTTATTAAATAAGGATTTTTATTATCTTTTGTGGTCTCAAAATAATATCTTGTGCCCTTTACATATTGTCAGGTTCCATGATTTCATATGTCGTAGCCACAACAAAATGAACTAAACCCATCCCTACTTGCTCTGTAAATAGTGATAAATAAGTGCAAATAATATGGAATCGCTTATTGTGTTGACATATGTCCTGCTGAAAAAGGAAGTTTGTGTAGAACATACCAAAAATAGTCTGTATTTCATTCTCATTCTAGAGTCCATCTGATTGGATCGGATAAATCATTAATATTTTTGTCAAGTTGTTCTTGGCTAAAAACTAATTTCGGAGTAAATTAGCACACAGATTAGCCTCAAAGCTAACACACGTTGGCTAAAATCAACACAACTCAAATTTTAATTACATAGGGTTTTCAAAAGTAATATTCCCCAACAATAGTGATGGTCGTGTTCTGTATGTATGTCCATATATGAAGGACGTTTGTGTCTGTGTTCGATTTCCTCTCCGAGTTCCCTAATCCAGCAAAATTGAATATTTCACACTGGCGTAACCTGAAGCTCCTCCACAGCACTGTCTGCGTGTGCGTATGACTGCAAAACAGCATAAGTAGGACAAGGAGTCCAGAGGGAGCATGAAGGTTGGAAGAGAGGAGCAGAAAGGAGAGGAAAGGAGCAGAAAGGATAATTTCCACAACTACCAACAACAATAATACAATAAAACGGCATCATGGGAGATGCATTGACTATGTTCTGAACTCTGCACAGTGGGTCCCTCTGAATGTAGGAGATATTTCAATGCTGATGTATGTGTGTGTGTGTGAGTAATGCTGCCGCAGTCACACTCCAACTAGGTTGGACTGGAGTTACAGGGTTCATAAAGCACCTCTGTGATTAATGGACACGTGCCCTGCTGTGGATAACACACAAAGCCAATAAATACACTGTTCATAAATGCTCTTAACCCCTGGATGTCCCTAACACACTATCACCCAATAAAATGACAGATTCACACCGCAACCTCAGCAGTAGTGTGGGCACTACTGAGATTGAGAAAGACTGGCCAGCTGGAAGCTCTGTTTGAGTGTGAATAGCACATTAGAGCCGTTCAAACATCGACCTGCAAGTGTGTGTGTGTTTACCTGTAGCCATTTTCCCATCCTGTGCAGCAGGTCCATCCGGTATGACACTTTTGACCTGTAGGAACTCATCTGGTTCGTCACCCCCGATGATAGTGAAGCCAAATCCCATGTTGCTTTTCTGCAGGGCTGAAGACAGAAAGCTGCCCTTCAGCTGCGTGGGGTCCCGTGTGAACAGAGGCTTTTCTGCCAGGGTGAAGAAATGCAGATAGAAACATGAGATTGTAATCAAGCAGAAGATTTCCAGAAATTAATGGGTTATTTTGTAAAAGCCACTCCAAACCCATCAAAAGCAGCAGATCACATCACACTGGGGAATTGTGGGTAGAAGGCCAAGCGCTCTGCTTGCAGCCAAACATACAAGAACAGAGTGGAACATGATGGCTTGTTTTTTGCTCAAACCTCACTTTTGGCTCTTTAAACCGACTCCAATGTTACACTCAACAGTGTTTAGCCTTGTCCAGGGCCGTCTCTCGGGACAGCCAAGACTTAAGCAAAAAAAAAGCCAGGAGAAGAACCAGCACAGGCAGAGCGGTTCTTCTGCTCTCTCAGAGCGGAGAAAAGCAGTCTTGAAAACCGTTCTGAAGAAGCCGTTTCGCTGTAACCACACACCAACAAGGACTTTTGTACTGAAGAGCTGCTTCTTCAAAACTGAAGAGATGCCTACTTCAGTACATAGTATGGAGTTACAAGATGCCATAGTCACTCCATCTCGCTTTCCTAGTTGAGAGGTTCTTAAGTATTTTTAAGCACCATCTTGGCCAAGTCTAGTCCTTTAGCAGTTTCTGCCATGCGTTTGTTAGGGACAATAGCTGGTCCAGATACCCTGCTGAAAGACCAGCATGAATTTCCATGCTGATCCATGTTTGTTTGGTGCTGGTCCAGCTGGTGGACAAGCACCAGCAAAACATCTGGCACAGCTGGTTGACCAAAGTAGCTTTGTTTGTTAATATACATAATGGGGATGTTAGTTGTTAGGCTGTCTGGATGATCTTAAAGTCAACATAAAATGGCATTCACAACCCAAGAGCAGGACTTGATTTTGTCTATCGGGAGTTGATTGGATCTTGGAAAGAGGTGTTAGTGTTTGTGTGACATCTTCAGAGACTAACACTTTAGAGCACTAACAGTCAGTAAGCATAGATCTGTGTATAGTGCTTTCAAAATATATGACATAAACCCCAAATTATGAATAGATCATTATATTAAACTTAATTCTAATAGAACTTCAATCTTAAAAGTGTTAAATATTAAAGCTAAAACTGGATGCTAAAGGAAAAAATCCAGATAAAAAATCTGACTAGTCGACCCGCACAAATTGACTAGTTGGATGTTGTTGGCGACCATCCTCTACTAGATAATTGACCTTGTGGAATCAGTAGGCATTTTTTATAAAGCATGCCGAACATATGATGGCGACCAGTTATACTGGTCTGTTCAGCAGGGTAGGTGGACTCATGAGTATCCTGGAAGCACAGGCAAAAATTTAAATACAAAACAAAAAAAAACAAAAAAAGCCAACAAAAAGTCTTCAGTGGTTTAGAAACTGAGAGAATGTTCCTTTGATAACTATGCAAAAATAGGCCAGGCAAATAGACTCCTGCTGAAGTCCTATCTTGCACAAGGGGACGCCGGTCTAGGGACGCACCATGCAGTCCAAACACACCGGCCCGGTACAGGAGGGCCTCGGACAGGTCAGTGAGACTGTGAGAGCGCTCGGGAGCGGGACCCACGTATGCCAGTCTGGCCCTGGGTAAGGTGGCAGAGGAGGAGCTCTCCTCCACTGTTACAGAGAAGAAAAACCCTCAACTCACACAGGAAATCAAGAAATGTAATTGAAGGATACAAGGTTGGTCTACTATGGACATAGAAGATTTACATTTCAACAAGAGTTCTTGGGTGATTTTGCCAACTTGAACATCCTTGTTGAACCTGGAACAACTTTCCCAACACTCTGATTTTAGAACTAGGTTTAGAGCTAGGCACAGGGCTGGAGTTGGAGCCTCAACTCACACAGGAAATCTATAAATGGTATTAAAAGATACAAAGTTGGCCTACTATGAACATAAAAGAGTTGCATTTCAACAGGAAATCCAGGGTGAGTTTGCCAAGTTAAACATTCTTGTTGGTCCTGGAACAATGTTCCTAACAATTGGATTTTACGGTTAAGGATAGGGTTGAAGCTTCAAGAACATTACCATCCTATCATTTTCCTTTTGTTTATGGGGGTGGTTATGGTAATGGTTGGGTTTAGGAATAGGGTTAGGACCGGTTCCAGGGCAAACAAAGGATATTGAGCCAGGAACTTGGCAAATTGTGGTTGTCACAAGGGTTGATCTACTAATGAAGGATGAAGCTTTCCTGTAGATTAAAGTAGTACACTCTGAATTGGTCTGCATTTAACATCTGAGCATCTGAGAGACTGAACACCCAGATCAAGCATATGCTTTCCAAGTCCTCTGTGGTCCATTTATACTAAAATCTTAAGCTACTGAACCTCTCTCTTTTGGACACAAGATCAGACACTAACAGTATACAGTATTTCCAATTTTGTGAAGGGTCCTTTTCTGCTCCAGAATGACTACGTAAGTCCACATATACATGACTCTGGTATGGGAGAACTTGATTGGCCTGCACAAAGACCAAACCTGATCTCCTATTGAACACCACTGGGATGAACACAAGCTGCGTTTCCATTACCCTTCAAATTGCGCAAATTGAAATTGTGAATTGAAAGTACACCCAATGGGACCACGTCAATTTCGCGAAAACTCCCGGTTTTTCAGGCAATTTGAAAAAGGAATATTTCACAAAACTGCAATATAAACAGTTTTTTCGCAATTACAGGTCACCTGGCATACGTAAAATCTCATGATCATTCTTTATAACCTCCAAGAAACACCTTATACATGGCCGCTCTCAAGTATAAGGGGCTTTCCTTGCCATTAATGCTTGGATAATTCCTTCCATCATCATGACTTACCGTGAGAGGAAAAAATTAAGTTTAAGTCGCATAACATTGGTTAATGGAAACGCTGTCATTTTGCAATATTTCTTTTATCGATATTTATAAAATAACGCAAAAGTTTTTGCACAAATCTGTAATGGAAACACAGCTACTGACATTCACTGATGCTACTGTGTCTACACGGGAGCAAATCCCTACAGACATGGTTTAAAATCTAGTGTTTCTAGAAGAGTGAGAGCTGTTAGGGAGGATCAACTACTTGTTAATGGCTATGACATTAAATGTGTATCAGTCACATATGTGGTGTTCAGATGCCCCACATGTAATACTTTGGCCATATAGTGTAGGCATGTTGGAGGTTTTCAGTGCAGCATGCTCTCTCTGAAGGATGGACTGAAACAAGGTAGAGAAAGTTCTTCTTGTTTACGCCATTCTGGCTGAACATACTCTGCCTCTTACCTTTATGTGGGTAACAGCATGACCATGCTGAATGGATTAACAAACAGGAATTATTGCAAGAAACGCTTCTAACCATAATCAGGCCAAGGTCATATTATGAAAGGAGACACATTCTCAATGGATAACTGAGTCTCAATGAAAACAGGAAGCATTCAGGCTTAGCTCGAATAGACTGTACAGGTAGATTTAGCGGATTAGTTTATGCAAAAATGAAAATTCTGTCATTATTTACTCCCCCTTATGTCTGTCCAAACCTGAATGACTTTTTTTCTTTAATGGAACAAAAAAGAAGAAATTTTGAATTATGTATTGGCTGTTTTTTCCCAAGCAATTACAAAGAATGGAGATTACAGCTTTCGAACTTCAAAAAGCATGCAACAGTATTGTGAAAATATAAGATCAGTCAACATGACTTGTTCGAGAAAGTTCTTGAGAGAATCAGTTATGAGCAATCTACAAATAAATGTTGCCAATAAATCAGATGATCAGGTTAAAAGAAGCAGTCAGAATGATTTGTCAACAAATCAAGACTGATTTGGTTCTCAGCTTCAGTTTACTGACTCAATGATCCAGTCACAGTGGTTAACAGCTCATCCGAGGGGAACATATTCAGAGAATAATGACTTTTACAGAAAACTGACTTCGCTGATATATAAAATCCTATGGATACTTTTTGATATTTGATGGTGCTTTTGCATCTTCAAAAGATGCTTTAAATTCAGTTAACATTCATTGTAAGAGCACAGAAAAAAGACAAGTTCTTTAAAATGTCTTGTTTTGTGTTCCAAGAAAGTCAGTTAGTTTTGGAAAAACACGAGTGCAAGTAAATATTGACAGAGTTTTCATTCTTGGGTGAAGTAAAATGAATCATACCAAAGGTATGGCTGTAAGGAAGTAATATTCTGAACAATAAGTTCACACACAGATGGTGCACTACCAAAGACAATGTCTGAGCTTAGTTGTGTTACTATAGAGACAGACACTGAGCTCACAGGAGAAATATAATAATAGTCATGAATATCAAACCTCAATCAACAGTTTCAGCAGATTTGATGTTAAACATGTCATTGCATGGAGAGCAGATAAGTGTTATTAAGATGTCTTCGGTGTGTGCCTAAGCAAGGGTGGTTGGAAACACCATGATGGTTTAATCAGATTTGCATAGATTTGCATTAGTACCACACTGTTAATTTTTGGATATCAATATTGGATATCAATAATACTTTACCTCTGTAGACTGTAGGTAGGGGGAGAGAGGACAAGCCCTGGCTCTGCATCTGCTGCTGCTGTTGCAATCTTCTCTTGGCCTCTAGAACTGGATTCTCAAACTGAGTCCTTCGGTTTATGTGACTGCAATCAGAAAACCAGAAACAGAAACTCATTAAAGTGCATTTCTTGAGTGACTACTTGATAGGACATGCTTATCCAGTATATAAGCAATCTAGCTAGCTGCCTTGCTGTCTACTGCCTACACAGGTAGCATTTTAACTGAAGTAACTGATCGGCAACACTCTACATAGGCAGCAGCTATGAACTCCAAATAGACAATGATTATTATGCGAAGTGCATGGGAGACTCGACTCTCAATTGATTCTAATGTGCCTGCCACTGACTGCACAATTTTCTGTGAAATCTGTCACCTCCAACTGCCCAATATCTGTAGACTGGCTCTGACTTTCGGCAACTAGTGTTGACATCGTCCAAATTGAAAATTGGGGCAGAAATATGGGCAAATTTTGTGTAGTGAATTCCAGCTAACAATATGCTAACGATTAGGGCTGGGTTTTAACACAAATTTCATGATTCGATTCCATTCTGATTCACAAGCTTGCAATTTGATTCGATTCGATTCGATATCGATTATCTCGGATATTTTAGGTACAGTACATGCCAGATTTTCATTTTTTAAATGTACATTTAAATAGTGGCTGTCATAAAAACTTGAATTAAACATAAATTAAACATCGAAGAACAGTAAAAATTATAATGAATATGTTATATGGTGAATATATTCATAAAATTATTCTCTACAGAGTTCATGGGCCTCATTTATAAAATGTTGCACAGAAACCATCCTAAATTTGATCTTACGATCATCTCTTAAATATGCATACGTGTAATTCATAGAATGAACGTACACACGAAAACGCACGTATGCCTCTCTTTCAGATGTGAAATCTAAGAATCGCAAATGATCTTGAACGTCTCAGGTTATGTATGTAACCATGGTTCCTCGAAGGAACGAGACGCTGCATCGGAAGACGCTTAGGGAACGCCCTTCAGCGTGACCGGCTCTGAACCTCATGTGTAATCAGACCAATAGATGGGCGAGACGTCACGGGCGGGTGACGTAGTGACCAGGAAGCTATAAAAGCACGTGCGGCGAGACCAGCGTCAGCTTCTAGGAATGAAGCAAGCGCTGGCAGAGATGCCGAAAGTATGGCTCTGAGACGCAGCGTCTCGTTCCTTCGAGGAACCATGGTTACATACGTAACCTGAGACGTTCCTCTTCAGGAACTCGAGCTGTGTCGGAAGACGCTTAGGGAACGAGAATGCCCACGCCGCCAGACTTTCCAATCTCGCCTAGTGTGGAAGCGTGCACAGCTAAGGCGCGAGAACAGAGGAGCCGGGAGTGGCTCGCATGTCTAGGTCATAGAACCTGACGAAGGTCAGGGGCGTGGACATCCCGCGGCGTCGCAGATGTCCTGCATGGAGACACCTGCCAGGAAGGCCTTAGAGGCCGCCATACTTCTCGT